TAGCCATGTTAGCCATGGGGGGGGGACGGGGGGACAAAGTCCCAAAGAATCCATCCCCCAGCGATACCCTTGAAGCAGCCCAAAGGCACCGAACAGACAATGCTAGCTAGGGTCCAGAGCTTCACTGGCTTCTTCCTCAGGGGAAATGGAGAAAGGACCGCCTGTGGCACTGGGGTCACAGCATCTCCCTTTGAGGAGGAGGTGATGATGATGATGATGATGATGATGCCTCCGGGAATGGGTCGTGGCAAAGCCATGTGCGAAGTGGGAAGAAAGCTGCATTGCATCTTCCCCCTGGGAAGTGGGGGAAGGCCCCTGACCAGAGGGCAGTGGCTGTCAGGGAGGTGGGGGGCCACAGTTCAAGGGACGGGGCCAAAAGCCTCCCCACTTCAGGGCTATTTGGGCCCCTGCGTTCACGGGGGCCTTTGGACTGCCTTGGGAGGGCTGCAAGGGCCCCTCCTGCCCTCCGGCTGAGGGACTGCAATGCCCCAGTGCCCCATCCCTTCTAGGCTGAGGCTGATGGGGATTGCAGTCCAAAAGCTGGAGGCCCACCCGTCTCCCCCCTTCTGGAGACGGAGGCGGGGGAGGGGGGGGCTCTTTTGGCAGGCCCTCGGAGCCTCCCCAACTCCAAATCCCAGGAGGCATTGCTGCCGGAAGGAGGGAGGGAGGGGCGGCGCCGGGCTGCTCCCGTGACCAGACCAGGCCGGCCTCGCCTCCGGCGCCCGAGCTTCGTCTCGCTTTCCCGGCCGCCGCCGCCGCCATGGACCTTGGGCCGGCCCTGCCGCTCCTGGCCGCCCTGCTTTTGGGCCCGTCGCCCGGCGGCGCTTTGCACACCAAGGGCGCGCTGCCCTTAGACACCGTCACCTTCCCCAAGGTAAGCCGAGGGCCTCCGGAGGGAGCCCAGGCTCGCCTCGCCCTTCGCCGCGCTTCAGAGGGAGCGGCCAGAGAGCTTCCCTTTGGGCGATCGAAGGCGCCTTGGGGGCCTGGGCCTCTGGATTGCCCTGGCGGCGCTCCTCGGAGCTTTGGCTCCTCTCCTTTTCTCTCTCTCCTTTAACCTCTTGCAGCCTCTGCCTGGGACGATGCCTGGCTCCAAGGTGGCAGAAAGGCCCACGGCGAAAGGCCTCTCGGATGCCTCCGCTTACCGGGTTGGGTTGGGTTGGGTTGGATTGGCACGCAAGCGAGGCAACCTTTTCCCCCTTTAAGGGCCGAGGAGGGACTTCAGCTCCCAGCATCCCAGGAGCTATTAGAGGCCAACATGGCTGAGGCTTCTGGGAGCTGAAGTCCCTCCTCGGCCCTTAAAGGGGAAAAAAGGTTGCCTACCCCTGATCTATCTATCTATATCTACTGGTCTGTCTATCTATCCATGCAACCTATCTATCTATACACTATCTATCTACCTATCTACCTATCCACACATTCTATCTATCTATCTATCCATCCATACACTCTATAGTCCAGGAGCCCATTGCAATCCAAAGGCCGAGGCCCCCCGGGGAGATTGCCTCCGCACTGCCCACTTTCCCAGCCTCGTCTCTGTCCCACAGGATCCTGGGATCTGAAATCCAATGGGTTGTTTAGAATTCTGTAGTCCACTCCCCTGAACTAAAGCTTTCTGCTCTCATGGTGAAGAAATACTTCACCAAACCACAAATCCTGGCATTCAGGAGGAGAGAGAAATGGCTGCTGAAATGGCTTGTTGTTGTTGTGTGCTTTCAAGTCATTTTCTGACTTATGGCAACCCTGAGGCAAACCTGTTATGGGATTTTCTTGGCAGGATTTGCTCAGAGGAGGTTTGCCATTGCCTTCCCAGAGGCTGAGAGAGTGGGACTTGCTTAAGGTCACCCAGTGGGTTTCATGGCCAAGCTGGGACTCAAACCCTGGGCTCCAGAGTCATAGCCCAACACTCCAACCACTAGGCCACACTGGCTCAAATGGTGTTGGACTGCTATAACTGTGGAGTGTGGCTATGCCCTCCAAATGCTAAGCTGTGGCTAACTTTCAAGATTGGGGTTTTAAAAATCATTTTAAGGTGGTAAATATATGAATAGAGAGCCAGCATGGTTTGAGTGTCGGACTAGGGCTCTGGAGAACAGGATTCGAATTCCTGCTCCACCCTGAAAACCCACTGGGTGGCCTTGGGCAAGTCACATTCTCTCAGTCTCCGAGGAAGGTAAAAACAAACCCCCTCTGAACAAACTTTGTCAAGAAACCCCCCTATGGCCTTAGGGTTGCCCTAAATCAGAAACAATTTGAAAACACACAACAACAAAAAGATATGAATGCTTGCTCTTAAACATTTTGTTTTGTTTTTCATTCTATAAGAAAATATTCCATAATTCAATTTATTTTTCATTTTTATTTGTGGGGGAAGGTTTCAGAAAAAAGGTGGAGGGAACTCTTCCTCTCAAAAATATTTCCTTTCCCCCCCCCCCCTTTTTTTGGGTCTTCACATCTCTTAACTGGAACGCTCAAGATGGTTTGTTGAAGTTTTTCCTCTGCTCTTCTTTCAGGTGATCCCAAAGCACAAATTTGTCCTGGTGAAATTTGACACTCAGTACCCTTACGGGGAGAAGCAGGATGAGTTCAAAAAGGTGGCAGAAAGCTCGGAGTCCAGCGAAGATTTGCTGGTGGCTGAAGTGGGAATCTCAGGTGAGATCCGACGTGGGGGGATTTGTAGGCAGGCAAAGATCCTGTCTGATCTTTGCAGACATGACATCTTTTTCCAAAATGATTCTCCAGATTGGCCAAAGTCAATAATGAGGAGGAAAGGATCCACTAGGAGAGGCGGCAGTGCTTTGCTTTTGCCTCAGTCTCCTATGGTTGGACACGACTTAAGAACCTTGTCAACGGGGAATACCTTTACCTTTTTTTATTGGGAAGGGCAACTTTCCATCCTTCCGCCCCTGCAGAGTTAACTGCTTTTGTACTTTGAACTCAATTTGCAACCATCCAAGTCTTTCATATTTTTTATAATATGCATTTCCAGAGGCTGCATTTTTGGCAGTCTGCTTTGACATCCAAGTTTCCTGGGGCTGAAGATGGGCAGTTGCCTCCATCCTGTTGCAGACACAAAAGGCAGCATAAGAAGGGAATGCACAGTGAAGGAACTTGGTGATTCATTATCTCCCTTTGTCACTTGTTCAGTCTGTTTAGCTCATATCTTTCAAAAACCTCCCTGTAGGTTTGTTGTTCATTTTCAAGGCACAGAAGGAAGGGTAAGAAGTTCAGAAAGCTGCCTTTCACAATTAGCAAGAAAGGGAAGCCTTTAATGATTTCTTTGTCTCATTTCCTCTTACAGTAACACACCAAAACCAAAATGGGCTCCAGAAATGACTTATGATGGATAATGACATTTCAGCTTCCCACCTTTTCTCCAAGGTTTGAAGCAGAGCTGGGGAAAGTTCCTTTTAGGGACTAAAATTCCCAGAATCCCTCAGCCAGCATGGCTGGGGAATACTTGGCTGGAGGATTCTGGATAGTGTCTCAAAAAAGGATAACCTTTCCAAGCTCTGCTTCCAAGGTCCTCCCTTGAATTGTATCTCCCCAACAATGTTCTGTGGTAGGTTAGGCGGAGAGAAAGCAAGTGCCACGCTGATTTTACATTTATTTATTTTATTTGTATGCCGCCTTTCTCCCAAGAGGGACCTAAGGTGGCTCCCAGATAAAAAACTTGTCATTCAGTGAGCTTCGTGATTGACTGCAACTAGGTCTAGGCAAGGGGCCATTTCAAAGCTCATCTCACACTGCTTGCTTCTTGGTCTTCTGTCGACAGATTACGGCGACAAGTTGAACATGGAGCTGGGGGAGAAGTACAAATTGGATAAGGACATGTACCCCATTTTCTACTTGTTCCAAGATGGCGACCTGGAGAACCCTTTGCCGTACAGTGGCCAGGTCACAGCCAGTGCTCTGCAGCGCTGGCTGAAAAGCCGAGGGATCTACATGGGGATGCCGGGATGTCTGAAGGAATTTGATGCCTTGGCCAACAAATTTGTGAGCATTGCTCAGGAAGCGGAGCGCCAGGCTCTTCTGGAAGAGGGGCAACGGCAACTGGAGACAGCCAAGGAGAGCGAGCGGAAATCTGCTGAACAGTACCTCAAAATCATGAGGAAAATCCTGGTCCAGGGAGACCAGTTTACAGCCAACGAAGTCTCCCGCATCAACAAGCTCATTGAAGAGAATAAGATGAGCGACGGGAAAAAGGAAGAGCTCCAGAAGCGCCTCAACATCCTCGCTTCTTTTCTAAAGAAATCGAAGGATGAGAAAGAAGAGCTTTGATGCAGAACGCCCAAAAAGAGAAGCTGCAAAGTCAAAGCGGGCCAAGGCCCAGTCTGGTGCTCCCTTCAAACAAGCAAAAACACCCTGCTTGCCTTTTCCTGAGGGTTGTGGAATTCTTTCCTTCGTGTTTGGGTTTCATTTCTTTTGAAAGACCCAGGGCAAGGCCTCTTTTGGGTTAGAGAACGGGCAGAACTCCATTGCTGTCAACAGGATGGAGGCCACAGTCGGTCCTAAATCCTTTGTTCAACAAGGCAAGTTTGCTTCCCCAACGCCTCTCCCTGCTCAAGTTTGTGCTCCAAGGTGCTGTTCTTTATTGGATGTATTTTCAAGATGGCTGCCCTCTGGGCTTGATGCAGCCTCTTCTGAATTAGTGGGGGGTTCAAAATGGCTGCCCTGAGAACACTGGGCAGCTGGTTGTCATTGGTTGAATTTTCAAACATGCAGCCTGCCAAGGCTGTCCTGGCTCCAGCAGTCATTCCATGTGGCCCACCATCTGCTGGCACATTCCCCCCATTCCCTTTTGTTGTTGTGTATTTTTTCAGACCAAGGCTACAAAACCCAAAGGTTTATTACTGAGCAGTTGGTGGGACTCCAGACATTGATGGTGGGCTGGGTTCAGCTTGCGAGGCCATGTCTCAAAATGGCCGCCTCCCAGATGTCACCAAGCATCCTGTGGCAGGGAGTGGAACAAAATGGCTGCCTCCTGTCAGTCTCAAGGTCTGGGCTGAGTAATTTTGACCCCTCGAGCAAGTAGGGTTGTTTATGTGCTTGATGTGTTTCGGAGCACAGGTTTGGTCAAAGCGAAACGTGCGTTTTTGAGAGGGTATGGCAAAAGCGATGCTTCTCTCTTACTGTTCAGTATTTGCAAAATTGGTTCTGGGGAACATTTATTGTGGTACTTCCATTTGTTAATAAAGGTTACTGGTAGGGGAAAAAGTCGTGGCAGGCTTTTTCTTTGGCTGCGTTGTTGACAAAACTAGGTCAGAAAACAGCACTTATTTGAGACTCAAAGCCTCACTTGGTATGGTCTATAAATGGGGAGACTGATCTCCATTGTGGAAGTTGCACGTGAAAATCATAAATCTCTTTTTAAAAAAAAAAAAAAAAAGCAAGTGCTAGGCCTTAAGGCCAAATACATGAGAATCCCACTCACCACATTTTTTTCTTTAGCATCCATGGAGGGATGGACAATTTTTGGACCACAGCAGGAGGACAGAGGGCTACAGTCACACCTCCCTGCATGTTGCAGTCATAACCTATTTCACATACGTGCATTTCCAAGCCTGGCTTCCCCATCCTAAGTGTAGAAACTTACTTTTTAAATGTAAAATTCTGTAAGGAAACCTATATTGGTGTGGCTAGTAGAGGAGAAGCCAGACTACTAGATAAGGATGCTCCTCCAGACTAGGACAAAGGAGTGTTTTGTCCAAGGCTGGGCAAATATGGTCTGAGGGCTACCTCTCAGGGTCGTTGTGGCCTCAGGGCCTCTGGGGATCCAAATGTTTGCCACCCAGCAGTCTCTTGGGGGCATTTGAGGGGTCTCCCTGTGGCTACACCCTGTTTTTAATCCATTTTCCAACAGTTATTTAGAAAAAGGTAATATTTTCAGGCTCTGGGTGGAACCCAAAGTGAGTAAGACCGAAATTCCATCAGCCTCTTTTCCTCCTCGACACGTGTTAATACAAAACTATCCCCTAGGGACTTTTGGCCAAGATTTGTAATAATTAAATGTATCTGACAGACAGCCAGGGATGGGTCTAGTTAAAAGCTCCTTGAGTGGCATTTGGGCTCCTATCTGATTTGCTTTGTCAGCAAGAAACAGGGCCAGGTTTTCAACAAACACAATGTGCCTTCAGGTCACCTGTCGACTTATGGCCGACCACATGGATTGTCAGGGTTTCTTAGGCAAGGAATTCTCCTCAAGGTGGTTTTGCCAGTTCCTTCCACTGAAATAGTACAGCACCTGGTAATTGTTGGCAGTCTCCCATCCAAGGACTAACCAGGGCTGACCCTGCTTAGCTTCCAAGATCAGACAGAATCAGTCTGGTGCTTTTAGGGTATTTAGGCCCTCACCAGCCTTCCTTGTGACAGTTTCTTTGGCAGTTTACATATTGTAAATACGTAATTTATGTTAAAATATTTTGGAACTGTGTAAACATGGTTGCATTTCCAGAGGCTGCATTTTGAGAAAGCCACCAACTCAAAAGCATTTCAAGAGGGAAAGAAGGCTGAGGTAAAATTTGGAGGGAGTTACTAGAGAATGTAATTATGGCTCAAAACTGGCCAATAAAATAAAACTAAATCTTTCGTGAGGGGGAAAAAAAGTTCAGATAAGTCTCTGAAGGGATTACTGAAGCAAGTACATTATTGTGATCAAGAAAAGGCCACACAAATTTTAAAAAAATGTTCATGAGGGAAAGAAGCTTCAGCTAAAATTCTGAGGAGATTGTTGGGGAATGTACTTATAGACCAGAAAAGGCCACATTCTTTTTAAAAAAAGAACTTTCAGGGACGAAAAGTAGCTAAAACGGAGGATATGTTGGCCTAATGTAATTGTTACCTTTAAAAAACTCAGTCAGAATTTGGAGGGAACTCTTGGGGGACATAACATATCACCTAGAAAAGGCCAGAAAAAAGGGCCATTTTCTC